GGGGGGGGGGGGGGGGGGGGGGGGGGGGGGGGGGGGGGGGGGGGGGGGGGGGGGGGGGGGGGGGGGGGGGGGGGGGGGGGGGGGGGGGGGGGGCAGGGGTAACGAATGTGTATTTATGGTGGTAACAGTCATCACGACAAAACGATGAGCATAGTGATAAGAAAAATGTTAATGAAGAATAAATAATTGAAAATTAAAGAGAGGAAAAAAACTTAATGAAAGAAGAAATTTGACTTTTGAGCTTTTGTGAAGACTCACCCTGCGGGCCAGAGGGGTTCGAGTTGGAGTTGGGCTGCGAGGAGTTGGGCTGAGGGGGCTGGGGTGGGGGTTGGGTTCCGTGCGGTGGGCCATTTTGTGGCATATTCCAGGAGTTCCAGGAACCACCCGGACCACCCCCCGCAGCCCCGCCAGTGCCAGCTGTGGGCCCGTAACCCCCTGAAGCGGCCGCCGCCGGCCCACCTGCGATCATTAACCACAAAAAACACGTGTCACCGAATCCGTAAACAGTCTCATTACACTTGTCTCGGACGTGTGATTTTTGTTTCGTTTTTTTATTTTTTATTTTTGGTTTCTTCGCAATTTTGAAAGTACGATTTTTGTCTCTTACTCCTGACTCGCTTGTACATCATGTTCTTATGGGGACATTTGAATATTACGTCACACGATTGAGGGGAAGGGATGGGTGATGTTTGTCGATTAACCGAAAACATCGATTTTTCATGCCCAAATATCGATGTTTTTGAGCAAGCTAACAAAATTTTACATTTTTTTATCGAATAAATAATAATGTTGATTGATTGAGAATAAAAGAAATTATAATTTATCCGCAATCGGAAGTAATTATTTTCTAGAGTAGCACCCTATAAATGAGAAGTGGACAGATCCAATCGTCTATTGTTGTTTAGGGTAGTATATTGGCTACAACTATTATCAATAATAATATATGTAACAATCAACAATTAATGCAGCCAACGTCCAGCCACGGAAAATATTCGATATATTTTTTTCGATTAATCAATAACTCTGTTTCGAGATTCAAAATTTGACTCTCCACCAATACTTATCATTGAAACGTAAGTTACTCGAGTTGTATTTTTTAAATGTAATATTTTCAGGAAAAACATTTAAAAAATTGATTTTTTAAAATTGTTTTTTTTTCTATGTAAAAATGAGAAAAAACATCGATTTTTTGAATAATCTATTTTTTTCCGGAAAAATCGATTCACAACATCGATGTTTTTAAAAACATCGCCCATCCCTATTGAGGGGAGGGAGGGGGTTCTTTAGATTGTGATGTCGCACCATTTTTTTCATTTTTAATCGACGAATTGCAAATGCAATTTCGTTCTCGTCCCCTTTTCTTGCGAAGATTTCACCAATTCTGCAAACTATCCCAAAGGTTCATAACGAGTAATTTGGGAATGTGATGGCAACAATTTAATGAGTTGCAAAATGTTTGACGAGCATCGCATAGAGATTTCATTGTTCACTTAAAGATTTGCCTTTTTTTAATTCTAATTTTATGAAGAAGTCCAAAAAACGTGTGACGTAATATTGGCATGGCCCCTTATGCGGAGATTTATTTTCGTGGCTTGATTCTCCTTCCAATACACCATTAGAAATCTTTAGCTGAACGTTTTTATATACTTCTTGGAAATTTTAATGACGTTACATTGCGAGAAAAAATGACGTTTTCAAACAAGTGTTTGTTTGAAGGAGAAAATCGCAAGTTAAATAGAATAATAATAATAATGATATGATGGCAATCCTGTAATTTAGAAACAAAATATTTCTTGATGAACTCCATTTTATCAAAAATGTTCCGCCTCTTGAGTCAAATATTTGGCTGTTCAAATGAAACAATTTCCATCTTTGTAACTTTCTACTTGCGATTTTTTCAGTTTAAACGAGACTTGTTTGAGAAGATGTTTTATTTTTCTCTCAGTGTATAGTTCCACTTAAATTTCGAGGAATTCCACAATTCAAAGTTAACAATTTTATGAAAACATCGATGTAAATCGTGAATTTCAATTATATTTGTCCGTAGAAATTAACATAAGGAGAATTCAGTGGAATTTGATACTGAATATTCAAATTTTGATTGAAAATTCAAGTAGGTTGAAAATTCTCATCTTTCTGTTGCTAAAAAATTGGAAATTCCATTGAATTCCCAGTGAAATATCATCTCTTTTCTAACAGTGTATCAGTGGGAGGAACGAGTTTGAGTGAGAAATCACAGCAAGTCGATCGCACCGGCAGAGAGAGATCGTGAGACAATTTTTCATCGAGGTTATTTGAAAGACGTGACAATTGTGTCTTGAACACAAATGGAAACTCATCCGGGAGAACCTGACGCCTTCAAACTTGACATTACACTGAGACAGTCATCCTACTGTATTTTCTTTCCTAATAATCATACGAAACAATTGCTGGACCCACCGTGTGGCCCACCAACTCCCAAAAATACTCAACACAAATAAATTCCTCACCCTAATTATCAGTTTTCCTTCCTTTGTCAATGACATACCACTAAACCTGTCCAAGCGGGATGGAGAGTTGGATAGGATTGGGACAAATGTCGTCTTAATTTTTAACGTTTAAAACCCTTATTTAAAAAACACAATTTGAAATTCTTTCATTGCGACGGAGGCAATCGAAAAGGAAGGAGTTGGAGGATCTACATTGATGATGAAGTTAATCAACAAAAAATATTCCCATCTAAAAAAACAAATCTAAAGCTTTCCCCCTCCTCTCTCACGCTCTCTCCCTCCGTTGAATTCACCCACGAAAATGTTTCTCGAAAGCACAAAGACCAGAAAAAAAAATATCAACATACATTTAATCCAGAGAAATATTTTCATGAGGTAAAAGCAGTCGATTGACAATAGATCATCGGCTGGATCGACTGCCTCTGTCGCGAAAGTTTATCAGAATGGATGATGAATGCGAGAAAAATCAACAATCTGAATGATTCTATCGAGTGATATTTCGTCGTGAGGACTCACCGTAGCTTCCGTATCCCTGAGTGGCAGCTGCTGGTTGAACGCTGTAGTTGCTGCCCCATTGGTGAGGTGGGGGTGGAGGGATCTGCTGCTGCTGGGGTGGTCCAGGTGGTGCACCCCAGCCTTGAGCATTGTACTGGGTGCTGTAGCCAGCGTAACCACCAGTCTGGGGACTTGTTCCCCAGCCCTGATACTGCTGCATCATGTTGCCAGGTGGTCCCATTGGTCCACCCATCATTGGTCCACCCATCTGACCATTGGGCCCACCCATGGGACCCATGTTACCAGCCATTCCCATCGGTGGCCCACCCTGCTGTGGTGGACCCCATTGGCCCTGATGACTGTCATTCATCTTGCTGGACGAGTCACGTGGTTCAGCACGCTTTATCTCAACCTGAAACCAAGAGGTTTGGGGGTCGAGGTATGAGAAAACCACTGGGAATATTCATTCCATTTTTCGGATTTCTATCGCTGAGAATATTCAAGTTTCAATTCATTTACTTTAATTGTTCAAATATTTTAATGTTGATAATCATTTGGTGGAATTAATCTTCAGTTTTTTTATCGACAGGTTCATTAAGGAATCCATGAAATTCAATCGAGTGTAACATATATTCGATAAATATCAAGTGATGAAAGTTGTTTTGAACCGTAATTTTTATCCAATTTCAATTCAGATTCCCTGTTGATTTTTTTATAGTTTTTTTTATTCAAATGAACGAAACAAGCCCAAAGAATTGAAATACCATGAAAATTGCGACTTGAAACAACTTTCATAGATTGAAATTTTGTGTACACTTCTTGGAACCTTAATTTTGTCCTTGAAAATTCACAAATTGTATTAAAAAATTAATGATAACAGTAAGTTTCAGTGCAATTATTCAATTATCGGTGCTGTATAGTCATGTTTTTGCTGCTCAAAAACTTGTAATTCCATTGAATCTTCAGTGAAGATTGAAATTTCACGATTTCTTCCCTTTAATCGAATCCAACGTCACTTTCCTGAAAATTACTACTAGACTGTCCATGAAATTTCAATTTTTCTTAACAAATACATCAACAATTGACAATTCACGTTGATTAAATAATCAACTCAAATGAAAGTCGCCATACGCAGCATAAAAAGAAAATCCCAAAGTCCCACTTGAATATCCTCAAAACTCTCAAGGCTGTTCACTCTCATTGGAAATCGCTGGTATCGCCCTTCTAATCTAATGTGCACGGATAATATAACAAGATGTATAATTTCTCTTTATTACACTAGACTTAATACTGTACGCTAATTTTACTACGATGTTTATCGATTTATTTATAGGCTATTTGCACTGGGAAAATAAGGTAGAAATTATTGGATTTTCATATTCTTTTTTGTTAATTATAAATAACGAGTATCTACGAACTATAGTAACAAATAGTTTTTCTGGTAAAGTGTGGTTTTCTTGTGAGGATTATACTGTACCTGTTTGCCGGCTAGGTTGACGAAATGCTCGGATACACATCGGTCCACAGCGTCTTCATCTTCGAAGCTGAGAAAGCCAAATCCTGTTGTCCAAACGTGACACAATTTTTTTAGCAAGAAAATGGACCATTTTCGGTACATTTTTCTCCAAGTATGCATTATTTAGTTTATTTTACTCATTTTCTTTGCAGTTATTATTTACCGCGGCTCATTGTACTCGCATACGTCACATACGTTACGTGCAAGAATAATTTATTTATTTCCTTTCATTTGATGAGTGGAAATGTCGAATGTTACGGTAAATCGATTTCAAACTAGTGAGAACGTGTGATTTCACCTGTTGTAATTCGTTCGGGTTGACAAGTATGTAAGTGGGTTGATGATATTGATAAATGGAGCAGTCTTGTGAATTGAGTGAGATTATTAGAGAAATAATGGCGGTTCCCCGAGTGCCTTAAAAGGTAGCTTAGTCAACTTAAGCTATTTGTGGTACACCTTACAGTAGCACAGCCTTAAGTTACACTTAACAGAGATACTTAGAGTAAATTCCACATAATTGGATAACGAGTGTAACGTAATGTAACGTATTCACCGAAACAATTATTTTATTTAAAAAAAAAAGACATGTGGTATTAGAGTATCTTTAGATTTAGCAATTCTTAATAGAGCTTAATTTTAAGTTGAAGTTTACTAATTTAGTTTATGCATAAAGGAGAAAATGTGATGATGTAAAAAAAATGGTTGTGGTGGGGGGTTGCTCTCACCTCTGGATTTCTTTTTCTCCTGGTCGTACATTATAACGACTTCCATGACCTTGCCGAAGCGGGCGAAAAATTGTCGAAGGTCAGTCTCGGTTACGTTGCTGGGCAGGCCACCGAGAAAGACTTTTGGAAAGCCACCGCTGCGTTTTGGCTTCTGCAGGGTGCGTGGATTGCATGGTTTTGGATCGATCTGATGGATCAAAATGGTAAATTAATTTCTGAACATTTTTTATGGGGAAATAAATGGCAGGAAAACTCGAATTTCTTGAATTCATCAGTTTTGCTTCGTTAAAAATACGAAATTATCTCGGAAACGAGTGATTTTATCGGGATATGTCAAGAGACATATTTTGTTAAGGATTTTCTCAGCTATAAAAAAGGCCCTATCGAATTTTCATCCAGGACCGATAGTTTCTGAGATATTCAAAGTTAAAAACCTAATTTTTATGAATATAAATGTCCACCAATTTTAGGCTGAAATTTTCAGTACATTTTTTGGAATTGTTTATCAAGTAACAATTATAATAAAATTTCAGGGAATTTTGTCATTGAAAATTCACAATTTGATGAAATCAGTCAAAACTGTAAATTTCCGTTCAATTATTCTACGAAAATCTACAGAATTCAGAAAAATTCAGCTAAGTATATTCTCGAATTTTCACTGAATAATCATGATGCTGCTACTCAAAAAATTATAATTTCATCGAATTGTCAGCAAAATTAAAGATTTAATCCCCCCCCCCNCCCCCCCAAATCAAACTCAATGCCCACCCAATGACTACTAAACTGTCCATGGAATTTCAATTTGGCTCCAACATCACCCCATCAATTAAAAATTCATGTTGATTTAATCAAGTCAATTGAAGTTCGCTGTATGCACGATAAAATAATTCCAAAGTCCCAATTGAATATCCTAAACCCCTCAAGGCTGATAACTCTCATTAAAAATCACTGCTATCGCCCTTCTAATCTGATTCTAATGATCTTCTCTCGGGACCGATAATTTCTGAGACAAATTCAAACGAAATAAAAACGTTGTCATCATGAAAATTTCATCATGATCATGAAAAATTTCATCATTCTTACCGTACGGCCATCCAACTGATGTGGTCCGTTCTGAAGAACAAGTCCCACATTAGCAGGATCACTGAACGTGACAAAGCCAAAGCCACGGCTTCGTCCAGACTCAGAGTTCTTCATAACCACGCAGTCAATAACTTCGCCATAACGGCTGAAGTAACGCTGTAGATTTTCTTGCGTTGTCTCCCAGGATAAGCCGCCAACAAATAATTTTCTGTAAATTGATGAATAACAATGTCATAAATGTCGGCCAAACAGCCTGATGATTCTCCACCCCAGCATTGAGGAGCGATAAATATTGAGGGGCGTGATAAAACAATGAATTTTTATTCCATATCAATACGCCACGAGCATTATGCGGAAGAATTATCGAATCGAAATTTATTGAATAAAATACGAAACGATCACGTCAGTCGGGAGATGAGTCATCTCAACACACGAGGGGGCTGGTGAGGAAGAAAAAATTCTGTGATGACAGCACATCACGTGATGGCTGATAGGTACCATATACTGTTAAAAAATTTTGACTGAAATTTTCAGTACACTTTTTGCAGATTTTTATCGAATTTAATTACCACTGAAATTTCAAGGAATTTCGACATTGAAAATTCAGAATTTTGTGGAAAAATCAAAGAGAACTGTAAATTATAGTTATCCATTTTTCCCTGATAATAGATAGAAAACCGGAAAATTCCGGTAAATATATTCTGGAATGTTCAGAACAGTGACACTGAATGCGATTTAGGGAGAACAAAATCATGAAATTTTAGATTTCACTGGAAATTCTATATAATTTGGCACTGAATACTCATATTAGATTAGAAATTCAAATCAATTAAGGAATTCTCGTCGTTATGCTGCTTAAAATTCAGGAATTTTACTGAATTTTCAGTGAAACCTGAAATTTCGTGATTTTTTCCCCCTAAATCGCATTCAGTGTCACTGTCCTGAAAATTAGTAGTCGACTGTTCATGAAATTTCATTTTTTTTCTAACAGTGTAGGGTTTATCAAGTTCCATAATTAATTGATCTATGTTTATTCATTCTTTTACGATCATGTGCAATCATTTTTAAGACATTTCAAGGTTTCAATCATCAATAGCTAAATGAATATATTCTGTAATTTTCAGGACAGTGACACTGAATGCGATTTAAGAAGAACAAAATCGTTATATTTTATATTTCACTCAAAATTCTATGTAATTCGGCACTGAATACTCATATTAGATTGGAAATTCAAATCAATTAAGGAATTCTCGTCTTTATACTGCTTAAAATTCTGGAATTTTACTGAATTTTCAGTGAAACGTGAAATTTCATTATTTTTTTTCCCTAAATCGCATTCAGTGTCACTGTCCTGAAAATTAGTAGTCGACTGTCCATGAGATTTCATATTTTTTTCTAACAATGTAAGGTTTATCAAGTTCCATAATTAATTGATCTATTTTCATTCATTTTTTTGCGATCATGTGCAATCATTTTTAAGGCATTTCAAGGTTTCAATCATCAATAGCTAAATGAATATATTCTGTAATTTTCAGGACAGTGACACTGAATGCGATTTAAAAAGAACAAAATCGTTATATTTCATATTTCACTCAAAATTCTATGCAATTCGGCACTGAATACTCATATTAGATTGGAAATTCAAATCAATTAAGGAATTCTCGTCTTTATACTGCTTAAAATTCTGGAATTTTACTGAATTTTCAGTGAAACGTGAAATTTCATTATTTTTTTTCCCTAAATCGCATTCAGTGTCACTGTCCTGAAAATTAGTAGTCGACTGTCCATGAAATTTCATTTTTTTTTCTAACAGTGTAAGGTTTATCAAGTTCCATAATTAATTGATCTATTTTCATTCATTTTTTTGCCATCATGTGCAATCATTTTGAAGGCATTTCAAGGTTTCAATCATCAATAACTAGAGATTGGCAGAGTGAAATTGGTCAATTTTTTCTCATATTCAAGGTTTTTTCAGGGTTTGAAATGAGACTCCATTTATTCAAATCGTATCATTCAGTCAGAAAATATTGACGATTTAAAATGAGCCATTTAAAAAAAAACTCCTAACAATCTTAGAACGTTTTCTTCATAATCATCACCCCGACAAACGTGAGTAAAAGAAAGTAGAGCAAACCGGGTACTTTTGGAAAACTATTCCAATTCTTCATACATTTAATAGCTCATGAACATCGGGAAATTCGCAAAAGCATTAATTTTGCCCCACCCTCTGAATAATTGTCAATCAACCTCGTGCCTGAGCCTTCCCCGATCATTCCCAACATTTAATCACTGATCCTACGAATAAGATAAAATTCTTATCGCCTTTAACAAAGCCACAAAGGCGTACAAAATCGGCTAAAATTAATTTCTGAGCAAGTGAAACATCAGTCACGCTGGGATGAAATCATCAAAAAAATCATCAGTCAATGGAATTAATGAAGTTAAACTCACAATCAGTCTAGACCAAAAACTATTGAAGCCCCCCCGATAAATAATTAATGCCACGAGAACCCAAAGAAGCTTGTAAACAAAAATCAGAGTAATTTTCGGAATAAAAATAAATTGCCCCAAATCCCGACTATTCTCGCTGTTTCTCAAAGCGTTTCCGTAAGAAGCCGCGGGGCGAGGGGATCAAGCCGAGGATGGAAAGCCAACGGCGACTGCCGGCACAATGCTACACTTTCACCGTTCTTTCCAAAAAAAATTCCCTCAAAACACGAGAATTCTCGGCCGATGGGGAGCGAAAAAAATATTGGAGCAGAAAAGCTAAATTGGATTTTTAACTGAAATAGCAGATTAGTAGCGGTGCGTGAGCCGGCGTTGGAGTGTTCTCGGATCGTGTGAAAAAGGCACGCTTCACTGAGGAGAAAAAAAAATCCCGGCCGCTCCGTCTCGAATTTCGTGCGAAAGGGGCACAAACAAACGTCCGCCATTGATGTAAATGTTACGCATCTGCGGAGTCGAATGTGGAATAGGATCTTTCATCGAATTTATTTGGAAATTCCACAGCATTAAAACCCAAGCGACATTTCAGGCCTCCACAATCACCCCTCCGCCCGGCCCTGCGCCCCGCCGCGCAGTAACGCAATCCCGTGTACTACGATGACGATTGAACGAGAGGAAAAAAATGCTGATCCTAATTTACCACTGGTTAACCACAATTTTCAATCGTTATTGATACGTTAAACACTCACCCCTTTTCGTCGTCGTCCATTTCGGCTTTCACTCTCATAATATTTCACTTATAACTACGTGAATTGTTGTTACTTTAGCGGACGCGTGTGGGAATATGGCACGATGCTTTAGCGCGGACGAGGGTAATGGCTTCCCACAAATGAAACAACCAACGATGAAACTCGAGCGACTTCGGGTTATAGCCGGGGAATGTAAACGTAACCGATGCTATGCGCGTCACTTCCCGTTTTTAGTTCACGCATTTCTTGACTGGTGGAGTCAAATCAGTTATTGCGCGCGCAGAACAGGGGTGGAGATGTTTTACCCAGAGCCCTTGGGATATTTTTCTTATCAACAATTGCAATGACTCATTCGTTGACGTTAATTACTGCATGAAAAAAGGTATCAAATCGAATGTTTTCATTGATTAAAAAAAATGTACGCAATTTTCTCGGATTTTTATGGATTGAGAATGCAGAATAAATAATTAAATTTTTCGTTACCACATCGGAGGAGTCGATACAGCACTGAGATCGAGAATATATTCTCAAAAATTATCCAAAATATCGATAAATAATCGGGTGGATTAATTCTCTCGAAGAGAGATTAGCTGATTTTCGGGGAAAATATTATGAATAATTTTTCGTTACAGTAGGTGAATTGAGCCATATTGTCACACTGGGTTCAATGATCTACCGTCACGGCGGCAAAACCCCGCCATCTTGCATTTTAATCACGTGGCGTCATTCAAAATCCCGCGGCAACAGTGGAATTGTTGGAATTCCGAGAATCTCTTCTCAGAGAATAATCCCAATTTATTCATCTCCGAAAACTCTTGGGGAACGAGTATTACCACCGATGGCGAGCCGAAATAACCGCGCGATAATTCACCGATCCCCAATTTTCTCAGCACGACATCTAATCTGCATTTATTTGCAATCGAAGATACAGAAAACGAATTCATTAATTAATCTCGAATGATGGATATGCTGATCTTCTAGGTAGAAATATACGGATTCAGGTTATAGTCTCCTCCGCTCCCTGTTAGACGCACTCGGTCAGTCGCCAGTGACTCTCAACCTAATTGGCAATAACAATCGTAGACACTTCCCCCCACATACGATAGAATTTCATCGAAAAACTATGCTAGCGCATTCTTGAAGAAATTTTGTTGCAGATTATGCAACTTTACTGTGTTTTTTTAAAGAGGTTTTTGATAGAAAAAAAATCGTTATATTGAGATTTTTGTAAAGAAAAATTCTTGTGCATAAATTTTCCAAGTTTTTCCCGCTGTATTTTCATTTCTTTCTTATAATAAAATTTAAAAAATGAATCTTTCGATAGATACTTCAATAAATATGATTTTATATAAAAAAAAATTAACAGAACCGCCGCAAAAAAATGTAAGTTTTCAACAGAATTCTAATAAAACGGCATTTGAATTCTTATAAAAGTCTATCAGAAATTCAAGAGGAAGCGTTTTTCCATTAAATTATTTAATACACGACCATAACACGAGCCGTCCCGAGCAACTGCAACTCCATCAACGCAAACATTTTGAAACGGCATCAGCTCGTAAACCCATAAACCTGTAATTTTCCACGCGGCCCACGAGTACATACTCTCCTGTACAATAAAATATAAACTGTATACCGAGAATATGTACAACTACGTGATAGAAATCTATCGGGGAGATCTTTTGTAGTTTCCGAGGCACGTGGAAAGCCTCAACGATAATAAAACCTCAAACTTCAGGTGTAAACATGAAGAATTGATTTTATGTTGAAAACCTGATGCAGAAGGATCGATACAGGAGAAACGTGCAGTTGTCTGAGGCTGCATGAATAAATGAAACTTAGAGGGGATGAGAACGAGTAACCCCCCCCCGCCCCTGTACATTTCCCTGAATATTTGAGGGGAGGTAGCCTCACGTCTCCCTGTGGAGAATCTCTACCTGCTTGAAGGAAGGAAACAGTGGTGCATTGCACGGTACTTTGATCCTGGGAATATAGTTGACAGTAGGGATGCAAAATGCCGGTAATTTTCGACATGCATCAAGCCAGCCCTAAATTTACCGTTTTCTGACCATTTGTGACCTGACGCATACCGCGTGATGCAAATTCACCGGTCAATTTACCCAATTGTCAGTAATTTTTTCTCGTTGTCATTTATGCTGAAAAATCGTCTATCTAGATGTAATCTCACCGTCATTTTTATGATCGGTCATTTTTTTTTCAGTTTCTACATGATTTTTCTTAGAAATTTTAATAAAATTATGAGAACGCTGAAACGGAAATGGAAAATTTAGTGAATGTCTTAGTATGGAATTGCTAACAAGGGGAAAATTACTCTTGTGAGGTATATAGTATAGTTATTTTTGGTTCAACCAATTTTTTGCAAGTCCCCAGATCTGGTGCAACAACAAACTGAAGAATGGGGCAACGTATTGTATATTATACTGGCCTATATGGCATTCATGTTTTTTGTTCTTCTTTTATAACTTTCAATATTCATTTACTTGGGGTTTATTATAGGGACGGGAACGAAGTGTACAGACTCGAGAGGGTATATATATGGATGAATAAATAATAAAAAATAGTATAGTTATTTTTGCTAATAAATTAGAAATATGCTTCCGAATGGTTATTTTGCACATCATTTCCTTCTATCGTGTATAATTCAGTGTTTATTTCATTTTATTAAACTGAATAAGATGTCCTTTTACCTAATTTTGTCATATTTTTAATTTAGTTAAATGTTATCAGCATCACTATTCTTATTATCCCTTTTCTTCTATACAACCGATTGTCTTTTTTACGGTTCTGTCTCTCCCCCCAACCCTTCGATAAAATGTTGGTAGAAAAATTTTATTTACACATACTTAAATGAATTTGAAACATCACATTTGAAGAAACCGTCAGGAAGCTCACTTTCAGGGAAATTCATGAAAAATTCGGAATTTCCAACAATCATCATAAAAATCAAATCAACCAATATAGCTATCGTAATCATCTTTTAACTTCGACATAATGGCATTAAAACAAACATTTTAAGATTGAATTCATTTGAAGCATGATATTCAAAAATATCCTCGGAATTCTAATTTTCAAAAAAAAAAAAAAATTTGAAAATTTTCGAATAAATCAAAATAACGATTACTTCTATCGCCTTCATTTTCGAACTCGGTTAAAGGGACATCTGAACAAATTTTTAAGCTATCATGCAATCAATTCGAAACATTTTTTTAAGTTATCGTGAGACAACCGATTTTCGAAAAAATTCCAAAATTACAAAAACCAATCGATGAATGAAATTTTAAGTAATGGCGATCGATAAGGCTCAACAATACCTACATTTGAAAAGGAGACCAACGCCACACGAGTAAAAAACCCCATCACAACAGGCCGGAAAAATACTATTTCGGACTTTTTGGCTCATAATCGGTCGATATAACGCAAAAAACCCACAACTTAAATTGGAACGATTACAATGCTTCCATCCGGAACCAACAAAATCATAATTAATCAGCAACATCCAAATACATCCTGCGATACATCATCGTTTTTTTACAATCTCATTTTAATGAATAAATTATAAAATTTGCTTTGAAAATAGTCGATCATTCTTCATTAAATGTCAAAGTTCATCAAAATTCTTCGTTAAAAAAAACAGAACGAGCTTCCCCAAAAAATGCCCCTCTATTGATCCACCTGAATATAATCGTATCGTAGAATAAAGGGTTAAAAAAATGAGACAGAAAAGACTGAGGCTGAAGAGAATAACCACCGATTCCTGGAATGATCTCAGCAGAGCGATGGAACAATCATTTCTCCATCGTAAAACTCATTTGTTCGGAATCGTAACTAATTTATTCATATTCTGAATTTTACGAGAAATCGATTTTATTCCTAACAAAACAAGGTTTCCGAAAGTTGAGAAAATTTCAATCATTTATTTATAAACAACGGATGTTTAAAAACATACTAATTCTGTGCACAAGGCAATTTGAATGATACTAAATATTAATTATTTTTTTCAAATGGTTCTCACGTAATTTGATTAACAAATTCGGTGATTGAAAATAGTTGAATCTATAGTGTGGTCTGTATCGAACTGAAAGATACTTGGATATTCTTAAATTGGGAGAACTACTTGAAAACAAATCATAATTGGTCAGCAACATCCAAATTATATCCCGCGATCCATCATCGCTTTTTTTCCATTTCATTTTCATGAATAAATTATGAAATTTGCTTTGAAAGTGGTCGACCATTTTCCATTAAAGATGTTCGACACCCTTTTACCCAAAATTGACGTTGTTTTCATTTTTCTGGCAAATTATCGATGGGAGTGACGTGAAAAAATATAACGATTTTGTGGTTTGTCATTCTTTAATGGCTCACGAAGTTGCGTAGTGGTGCGATAATTTTCATGCGTTTTTTCTACACTTTTGTGATTCTTTTTAGAAGTTTAGAGAAAACCCAGGACAATATTCGCACCACCTTAAAATTTCGTCAGTCATTAAATAATGACAAAACGCAAAAACGTGATATTTTTTCACGTCAATTCCATCATAAGTTTGGAAGAAAAATTAAAAAAACGTGAATTTTGGCAGAAAGGGTGTAGAACAACCTTAAACGTCCAAGAAGTTTGCGAGTTTTACATTGAATAAAAAAAGCTATTCATCAAAATTCTTCGTTAAAAAAAAAAACACAGAACGGGTTTCGACGATCTTGAAATTTTCCACAAAAAATGTCTCTCTACTGATTCGCCTGAACAACGTATCGTAGAATAAAGGGTTAAAAAAATGAGACAGAAAAGACATGCTGAAAAGAATACCCACCGATTCCTGGAATGATCTCAGCGATAGACTTAATCGATTCATCGGTTTTATTCTCTTTCCTCCGCTCGCAACGAGTTACACGGGGCCCTATCATCAAGAAGGCTCCGAGGGGCCGCAAAAAAAGATAGAGTTTAGAAAAATGCTCTCGTCTGCTCAGCCCCAGATATTTAAACGTCTAGTCGTGGGCCCCTAAAACAACTAACGTCCAATACTTTCCTTTCAATTTCGCCGCCCACTGGATATTCAACGTTCGACTGAAAATAAACGAGTATCGTTCACTGTCTCGGGTCCCCCCGATATCGTAGGAGCCAAATGTTGTAACTGGTAGATTCTCTTTTCCTGGAATGCTCTGGGGCCACATGTTTCTTTCCGGGGACGAGGGAAATGAGCTGGACGTAGCAGGAATGGTCGAGAGTATATTTCCATATTTCTCCGCTGCGATTGATTATTTTCCATTTATTGAGCATTCAATTTTTAAATAAATAAAACGTACGATTGGAAGATATCAGAACTATTCATTTATTTATACACTATTTTGTAATGAATGTTCCAACGCACACAGAAAAATTTGATGGAAAAACGCAGTGCATTCGCATTGGAACCAAATGTTGTAAGTAACTCTTGTGGATTAGCTTCTCCTGAAGTTTCCACGGGCCACGTGTTTCTTTCGAGGATCAGGGAAATGAGCTGGACGTGACAGAAATGGTCAATATTATTTCCATCTGTTCTCCGGTGGTGCGTTGCGCTCAATGAATCGACAAATTACTGTACAACGCTCGATGGGACGTGATCCAGTCTGCATGACATGTATGATTAGCATGGCACGATCGAAATCATTGGCGTTTCTACGGAAGTCCTCGATTTGTCAACGACACGAGCTCGTATAATGCGAGAGTGAAAATCGTGTGACATCTCTGGAGCTGATGAATTTTCTCATTATTTTGTGGATATCATCAGGAGAAATGTGATATACGAAATTTTGAATTTTACTTCCGCATGGTAGCAGTGAAATCGTTCCTATTTTTAGATTCTCTAATTTTACTTGGAAATTATGTAGAATGATCTGAAATGTAAAAATACGAAGCTTGACGGCTATGTGTGCGCACTGTTAGAAATAAGGGGAAATTTCATGAACAGTTGACTAGGAATTTTCAGGAGAGTGACATTGAATGCCATTTAAGGTCTAATATCCCAAGATAATCGGACTCATAAGTTAGGTCCTATGGATTTTCGGAAAAAATTCTAAATAACTTAATTTATTTCATTCTCGTAAGGTACAGAGTTTTTCTATTTTCATGTATTGTTGATGCAGATGACAATAACTGTTTGAATCAAATAAGAAATTATTTGTTAATTAATTTTTCATCACGCTGTGACGAAAAGTGAACTTTTCGGCACGCTCCGCGTGCCTAAAAGTCCAATTTCCGCCACATTGTGATGAAAAATATTGTTCGTAACTCGTGAAAAAATGTTTTTTAGCTCGTGGGAACCTCCCACTCGCCACACTTTTTTGCACTCGTTACGAAATATACTATTTTGAATCAAATAAGGAACGCTTTCACGAAGTTTACATTTTTTAGAGTTGAATATCACAGAAATTATGCAGTACGGAATTTTACAAAAAATTCTCCGTATTCGGTATTTATCAATCTATCACGTATTAGTTTTTTAAAAACGTCGTAAGAACGGTTTCCTCATAAGATGGAGAAATCGAGTTGGGAGAGACCCATAACCCCCGTATGGCCCGTGCCTCTCGTGTTAGAAGCCAGCATTTCATTATTTATTGTCTTCTAAACTGTGTAGTACAGCCAGTAAACATTTTTTTCAATAGCTGAGGATTATTATAAACATTATCTCTGAAAAATATGGGGACAATCTTGAGAGAAACGTGTTTTCTAGGGATATACCTCAAGGGAAAAACAATAATGAAATTTCAGATTTCACTGAGAATCCACCGAAATTCCAAATTTTTTTAACAGCAGTGATATAAGATTTTCTAAACTTGTTTGAATGTTCAATGAAATCATGAATATTCAGTGCTAAATTACGATGAATTTTTAGATAATTGAAAATTCAGAAATATATTTAGCGGAATTTTCCTGATTCCTACTAATTTTCAGGAAATAATTGAACAGAAATTTACAGTTCTGATTTATCCTTGGGAATTTTCAATGGCGAAATTCCTTGAAATTCCAATGCAACTAAAATTTTGGAAAAGTGTACCGAAAATTTCAGCGAATTTTTTTAATAGTGAATGTGCCGATGTCTACCTGGTAGTCCACTTTTAGAAAATCGAAAAATTAAAGGACTAGAATAATTCAAAAAAATCTCATGGTGAATTTTTAGAGAATTGAAAATTCAAAACATATTTACCAGAATTTTCCTGATTTCTACTAATTATCAGGAAATCTTTGAACTCAAATTTATAGTTCTCATTCATTTTTCCTTGAACTTGTGAATTTTCAACGGCGAAATGCCTTGAAATTTCAGTGGAACTAAAATGTCATAAAAAATTCAAAAAAGTGTACCGAAAATTTCAGCCAAATTTTTTAACAGTGAATGTGCGGATGTCTACCGTTGGTCACTTTTATAAAATCGAAGGCTTGAAGAATAACTTTAAAAAATCTCATACTTTGTCAGTTAATGGGTATTAATGGTGACGAACTCTGCTGAGTTTCAGTCCAATCGACTCAGCCGTTTTGGAGAAATTTCCATTTGTTTCTGAATGGTTTTTCACAAATATCTCCCAAATTATCAAACCGATTTCAATTTTTACCTCAAAATATTCGTCTCGAAGTCCTTTATCTCCATCAATCAAATTATGCACACCCGTTCGCACAAAATTGATCAAAAAATCCTTGTTCGCACTCTAACTTTTGAAAAAATCGAAATATCAACTTGAAATTTGGCATGAAATTTCCTCTTATTTTTTGCAATTAGCCAAGGACATTTATCAATTCTTTCCGGCGATTACAGAGCCTTTGAAAGATCCTCATAAAAGTTCTCCGTGTCAATAAAAGTTGATCTAATAGTGATTTTGTAGTTCTTTTGATCCACTGACGGTTCAGTATTCCATAGAGTGTGAGATCGAATGGCGAACATGACCATCGGCACCGATAAAACCAAAGAAATTTATCAATTTTTTCCTCGAAATTTTTCCTTCGAGAGATCGTTGTAAAAGTTTTCTGCGCCAATTAAAAATTTTATGATTCCTTCAAAAACTGTCCATGAAATTTCAATTTTTTTCTAACGGTGTACTTGAACCCGTCTTCCGCATGCCCCCGAAAACCTCAGAAGCCGGATGTAGAGTTCGCGACCTTGGTCATTGTCCCGGTAAATTGACTCTGTGAAAATTTACAATCCAAGAAGAGGAATCCACAAATCAATCTGAAATTTCACGGGACAATGATCCAGCCAGCATCTGGCTAATGTCCATGGATTTACCGTTCCATCCCGATGGGATTTAACCCGGGCATTACATCATACTTGTATCGAAGAGTGTTAAAAAGAAGGCAAATGAGAGAGCGGGGTATGAACCAAGAGAGTTGTGGCAAGAGACGATGGGGCCAGTCGAGTATCCACGCTCTCTCGTCACGGCACTCCCGTTTAGTTGTGACTGTGCCATCCGACACGCAGCACCACGCTTACTTCTCCCTGGCGATCCCACGCGCACCCGGGGCAGGGGCATCAACGCACCGAGAGAGAGAAAAGGGTCCATTCGAGTGAACTTAACTTAGAAACTGGAATAACAATAAGTAAGGAGAAAGAAGTGAAAATAGGGCCAGCGGAGAATCGTTCTCGCTCATCCTGAGCTATTCATTTGACCGTGAACCAGTGCCGCGTCAAGTTCAATCCCAGTGAAACCTCCAGTTACCATTGACTTTGCAAAAAAATTCACACCGGTTTTGCATATCGCGTTAAACAAGGTGCTCACTCAACTTATGAATTAACGTTATAATCATATCGGAGAATCATTTTTGCGCGAGTACTTGATGAGAATGTTGAAGTGAACTGTTAAGAAATTGGCTGAAATTTTCCGGAAAAGTACCTTGAATTCGATTTAAAGGGAAAAAGTCTGTGGAATTTCAAGTTTCTCTGATAATTCAAGTGAAGTTCCAATTTCTCAGTGGCGGGAAAACGAAAATTCCACAAATTACATGAATTTTCAGGGAATTCCTTTGGAATGCCCGGAATTCCAGGAATTTCTAAGGAATTCCGTGAGGAATCTGGAATTCAAGGAGATTTCTTGGAATTTTTATGATTTTTCATTAATTTTCCCGGAATAATTAAACTGTCATTTACAGTTCCCCGGATTTTTCGACGAAATTATGAATTTTCAATGACAAAATTCCTTGACATTTCAGTGGAAAATGTTCAACAATGTGTTCGTTCAAGGGTTAACGGAACTTCGTTAATTTGTCAAATTTTTGTACAAATTCCCTGCCGGAAGTTATCGATATGTTGGAAAATCGAAGCACATTAGTCTCTAGAAGGCAATGATGAAGATCAATGCGCTTTGGTTTCGACAAATATTAAAAGTTTTGGAGCAGGAAATTTGCTTGAAAATTGCGAGGAAACGGTTACCTTTTGTTACCCCTTAGGAAACAGGAAAATTCAAATTTCTCTCTAAATTTTAATTCTCTTTGAATTTATTTAATGCCTAAAGGTGGTTAGGCGGTGTTGTGAATCAAATTTGGAGGGAGAATTCCCGTATTTCCCGGTAGCTTAGCTGGGAGAGTGCCCGGCGCGTAACTTTTACCAGCAACAACCAGAAATTTTGCTCGAACAGCACAAGAATTTTTCACAGCCGGTACATTACGATTTTTTCAGTCCTATTCCTAGAATTTTTCCAAAGAATTTCTCTCCATGTAATTTTTACCAATTAATGTTTTCCAGTGATTTCCAGTGATAGAAATCACTGATGGGTTACTCTAGTCAGCGTTCAGTATCACCAATAATTGTCGATAGATTTTTAAAATTCGCTGAACATCGTGTTCCTGAACGTCACGAAAATGCACTGTTAAAAAAAATTGGATGAATTCTCCGAAAAAAGGCCTTCAATTGGATTTTAGGAAAAAGTCAATGGAATTTCACGGTCTAAAAATCAAGTCAGCCCCAATTTTTTAGCGATAGAAAGACGGAAATGACACAATTTACATGAAATTTTAAGTGAAAATGAATAATCATTGCCAAATCCTCTTTAATTTTTAGCAAATTCCTTAAAATTTTTTGTAATGCTAGGAATTTTTAAGGAATTCCCTGAAAATTCAGAGGAATGTGGAATTCATGGGGCAATTCCTCTTAATTTTCCTACCCTGACATTAATTTTCCCGAAATAATTAAACTGAAATTCACGGTTCCCACGAATTTTCCCAAAAATCTATCAAAATTCCTTAAAAATTAAGGAATTAAAATTCAGTAAAAAATTTTTACCACTATGTTTCGGCCGATAAAAAAAATCCCCGTATAAAACGCCTCCCGAATTGCATCCACCCCCTAACTGAGAAAGGTTGAAACGGTCCGAAAAGACCAATAGAAAACACTATACTGTTAGAAATTTCTTGAAATTTCAGTCACAGCGTCATCTGAATTCTCAATGTTATGAGCTTCAATGTAATGTCGAATGAAAATGATCATAAAATATCTCATTCATCTTGAGAATTCAAGAAAATCGGATTTTTCATGTTATGCAATCATTGATATTCCAATGAAAGCTTGAATTTTCAAACTCATTGCGAAAATTAAACATCAGATGAAATTCAATTTTTAATAGATTGAGAATTTACAAAAGTTCTTGCCTGAATTTTCCCGATTCTGAACATTTTTCAGTGCCGCATGGACCTGAAAATCGAGAATTACTTGAATATTCAAGAAATTAACTGATTCGCCAACGAAGAAATATACAGAAATGTCACGTAACGGTCTCGCTAAAAATTTCAACCTTTTCCCTTGAAATTACAAGAGTAATTTTCTAACAGTGTACTACATATTCAGTAGTATATTGACCACTACTAAGTTTCAATTCGCACTTATCATTTTGTCGCTCCGTATCAACTCAAAAACTCCGCGTTACATCACTCGTATCCAAAACTCCATCTTATCCCCTCCCCCTCCCCCCAGATTTTCGGGTCATTTAAAGACCTAAAGTTCACTGGCCTTTGCGGTCCGTCTCCCCCTCCCCTCCCCACCCCCTAGGGATATCGTAAAGTCATGGGATTAACGCAAGGGAGAATCAAGATTCATGTGAACGGAAATACGAAGAGCCGTGCGAGTGTAGACACGAAGAAACAATTGGGCTATGCATAAATCTAAAAAGTACTTCCTACATATTTGCCTCCTATCAAGTAGCGGGGAGGGGGAGGGCGGGAGGGAGGAGGAGAAGAGATTATAACAAAACCGTATTACCCCGTTGCACCGTATTGTTTACATCTCTCCTCCACAAGTATTCAATACGTCGTGAAGAATTCCGCTAACTCGATGCAAAAAAAGAACCGTAAGAGGTTAATCCACCGAGAACGACTGTTAACGGTGCCCCCNCCCCCCCCCCCCCACTGCGTTGAACTAAGAACATTAAAGAGATCCCAAACGACTGGGATTTGCACCTCATTGACCGCGTGCAAAACCTCAGTACGCAAAATACGTGAAATAGCATTCATGAGGAGTTTCCGTTCGAATTTAATTAAAATAGAAGGAACGTCCTTGAAAAATGAGACTAATGCACAGTGACCTCAATTCCATTTGACAATGATAAAAGTGCGTGACACTGGGTGAAATAAAATCATAAGTCTCAGGGGGAGACTCGTGTTGGTAATGGAAATCTTATGTGTTATCTGCTCATTTTGTGGGGGAAAGTAAATGTGGAAAGAATAGTTCTTGGAAATGTTTTTCTCTTTCAGAGAGAAATAATTCTGGAACTGGGAGGAATGTTTCTAATGTTGACAAGAATTCCAATTAAATGGGGAGAAATATTTGGAGAAATAATGATTGATTAGTCACGCACAAAGTACTTCCTGCGATATATTTGTGCTTTTTTGAGAATTCATTTTTATGCATTGTATTTAGTACCAAATGTTCCTGATACGCCGAATGTTCCCAATTTCAAGCAGCTTTCATGCAATAATTGAACTGAAATTTACGGTTTCCATTGTACACTGTTAAAATTTGTTTGAAATTTCATGGAAGACATGATAGTAATTCTCATGAGAGTGACATTGAATCGGATTTAGGGGAAAAATGGTTATAAAATTTCAAGTTTTAAGTAAAATTCAAGGAAATTCATGAATTTTCAGTGGCAGTGACATGGAAATTTCAAAACTTGATAGAATTTTCAATGGAATATGAATTTTCAAAAATAAAATTACATGAATTTTCCATTTTTCCCTGAATTTTCCCGATTTTTATGAATTTTTGGAGAATAATTGGGCCTAAAAATCAAGTATTTTAATGATTTTCAGATCATTCGAACAAAAAATCAATAGAATATTTGATTTCTCAATGACAAGATTTTCAGAAATTTCAGTGGAAATTGAATACGATAAAAATTTCCGAGATTTGGCACGGAAAATTCAGACGAAAATTTTCAACAGTGTAGTAAATATCTTCAGATGAGGTAGACTCATTAAAACACTCCCTATTTAACAATTCAAAGAATGGACATTCGTCCGTATATTGTAGATTCTTGTTGTAAGCACAAAGATGTGATATCAAGCAAACAATTCAGTGATCAATGATATAATTATGTCTCAATCGGTTGAGTGCTCTCGCCCACGGCCCAGGCCGAACTGTCCACTGTCCCGTTGCTTAGGGGACCTCCAACCCAGGTTCGTCATTTATTTGCACTGATAAAAAAAATTACTTTTATTGAGATGTTTCCTTCTTGGAACAAGTATTATATACTTGAACCAATGTCAAATACATAAGATCTTACGTTGAATATCAATTATTTCTTCTTGAGATACATTTACTTGAATCAAATAAAACAGTCCTTGGCGTCAAGTCACATGTATTCACCATAAAAATTGGAAAAGTTCTTTTTTTTTATCTTAAGATAATCTCCAGTCGAGAAATTTTCTACTTTCATGAATTGATCAAAAATTCGTACCCAGGAGATGATTGCATTGAAGAATGAATTGAATGTTCTTTTCTCGAATGAAGCCGATGTTTAAATTGAGCTTTCCGTGCATCACATCGAAGAAAATTTGTGATATCCAAGTTTGCGTTGAATTGCCGTAATCTGTGATTCTGTTATTGTAAACTAATGCGATTGTTTTTAGTCAAGAAATATAAACTTGTTTCAACTCAACGACATCTTACTACAATCTCAAAGCTTTTTCCGCGTAACAATACTCATCCTGATTCGACATACGAAATGCTCACTACAAATATAATTTACTTGGAACAACGCGTGATCGTGTTGATTGAGATAACGTATTTCGTCATGAGAATAATTTTGATTTTTGAGTAAACCAACGAATTTCTGGAGTTAGCAAACTTTTGGCTAGAAAAAAATCAAATACTTTCATTATTGCGACAAATAAAAGCAAATTCAATTCTAGAGAAGTTCGATTTCTCCCAATCAAATGTAATTCAAGGAGATATAACTGGTATTCACTATGAAGTCAAGTTTATTTGAAAATTAACAACCAAATGGTAGTTGGTTCAAATCAAATTATCTTGATGAAATTAATTTTTTCTGTCAGTGCAGGCTACGTCGAGATCTCCGTCGCCTGCGTATCAATTATTGAGAGGATGTTTACGCTAAAGTATCCTTGCATCTCTCCAAACAAAGCCATCTCAGTCCCGCGTTATGATCATTCGCCCCTAGTAGCTATTTCAAGTGTGAAAAATCTCTCCACACCATAAATTTTTCCATCAAATTGTGAATTTTTAATGACGAAAAATATCTGAAACTTCAGTGGAACCGCCACTTGATAAAAATTTCAACAGTAAAACTAGAATTTATTTCCCATCCTCACAATATCCCCACGAAAGAGGTCGTTCTATCGGTAGATTCCAGTAATCTCAGCCAGACTTGAATCGAAAAATAACTCCGATAGCGAAAAAATGACGTCACTATCGAAGATCAAAGAAACCATTCAGCATTCGCCTAAACTGGAATTATGACCTATCGAATCACATGCGCATGTGAAGACCTCCCCCAGCAGATAGCACATAAAAATCCTCAATTAAAAACCTCAATAAAAAACTCACTATTCCCTCGATTAAATTCTTGCAGATATCCATCAATCGGTGAAAGAATAGAAGTCCCCTTTGTTACCCATTTGAAGATGCAAAGAGGCTCATTCATCCACATGAAAAATGATCCAAGTGCTTCGTAGAAAATGGGTGAAGATAAGGGTCTGATGGATACCAGCAGAAAGAAGAGCATTGGTATCATTGATGGGATACAGCTGATTGAGGATGAGGAGATCCAGGAAGTGTGCAAATGGGCAAGGTGACGGATAATTCAGTGATGCGTAGACGACGTGGCTTGGGCAGTGCCATTGTCGGCCTCACAGTCGGTTTTCTCCTCGGCTTGATCATGATGAATTACCGGGGTATAACGAGCAGTCAGATGGCCCCAACACTAGGCACGAGGGGTTCAGTAACGGGAGGAGCATCTGCAAGGGTTCACAATCTCGAGGCCAATGTCTCGGGGAAAAATCTCGTTTTCGTTGGAGTGATGACAGCCCACAAGTACCTGGGCACAAGGGCCAAAGCTGTTTGGGAGACGTGGGGCAAAACGGTGCCTGGGAAAATAGCATTTTTCTCGTCGGGCTTTTCGACATTACCGGTGAACACACCGGATCTGCCTCTGGTGGCACTTGCCACTGTTGATGATGGCTATCCACCGCAGAAGAAGTCGTTTCTCATGCTGCAATACATGTGGAATCACTTTGGGGATCAATTCGAGTGGTTCCTGAGGGCCGATGACGATGTTTATGTCAGGAGTGATAGGCTGGAGAGACTGCTGAGGTCAGTGGACTCCAGGAAAGCTATATACATTGGACAGGCGGGGAGGGGCAATTCTGAGGAGTTTGGATTACTGTCGCTGGAGTATGATGAGAACTTTTGCATGGGTGGGCCCGGGGTCATACTCTCCAGGGAGACACTCGGGAGAATTGTTCCGCATATCAAGGAGTGTCTTAGGAATCTTTATACCAGTCATGAGGATGTGGAGCTTGGCCGGTGTGTCAGGAAACACGCTGGGATACCCTGCACGTGGAGCTATGAGGTAATGTTTAGTTATTAACAGCACAATCCTTAAGGTGTTTCGGTTGAAAAGTCAAAATAATGATAAAAAATTGGAAACTTCATGGGAGAAATCTCTAAGTATGCTGCATCATTGAGAATTCTTGCACATTTTCTTCAGATCTCAGTTTCAAGAAAAAAAATAATGAGATTTGGATGTTTTTGTAACCCCTCCAGCTATAGCCTCCGAGGTTACCCCACTCGCAATTAAGGAAATTTCCATGGCACCCAAAAAAATAATGAACTATTGAGGAAAAACTAGTGGGTGATAAATCAAATCTTTTCTGAGAACACGTATAAGTTTCAGATTTTTTTCAGATTTCATAAGAAAGTTATTTGAAAAAATGATTCGGAAAATTATGAGTTTCGGGGCAATTACGCCCTCACGCTCGGGCGCGTGATTCGAATGTCATTGAGCATCATGGGAAAGGTATGGGTTGGACCATGGAACTGAGAGAGAGAAATACTTGTCAGGTTTACCAACTCGAGACGCATTTTAATATTATTTCAATAATTAGAATGACATCCAATAAAAATCATTTGACACCCGTAGGTGATGAGAAAAAAATCAATCAATCTGATAAATAAAATCAATATCCAAAAGAATTCAAAAGCACACTTAAATAGTTACTTGAAAATTGGAAAATTTCGTGCTCAGCGATTGAATCAGGGCTCGAGAACAATAAGACTCCCCTTCCGCTTCACCCCCCCCCCTTCCCCTGTGATCTACAGTCGAAACACTTTAATTGTATTCTTTGACCGATGAGGTGATGAACAATTTGGAGTTGGCCTGTGCCAGAAGGTCAATACCAAATGAAACTTCCCAATACAAAATTTTTTCAGTAAGATTAAGGCCCGTTCGGGCCAGTAGTTCCTGAGATATAATAACTTATTTAAATTCCATTTTTCCTTAATATCTCAAAAACTACTGCACCGATTTTACAATACTCGTCTCGATAGCCTCAGTAAGTCAATCAGAATATATAGACTCTTTAATACCCAGTTTGGAGATATCGCCGTTTTCCCGTTTTTCATGAAACATCTGGTACGCACGATAACTTGAGAAAAAAAGGAGATAGCAAGTTGAAATTTGCTACGGTTCTAGCTCTTATAGCACTAAAGGTTGGTATTTTGGATGGGCGCAATCGGCTGAGCGGTTCCTGAGATATGCAACCTTTTGTGTAAATATATGTCTTCAAATATCTCTTGAACTACTTGACGGATTTCAACGTTTTTTCAAAATACTCGTCTCGGCAGCCACTATATGGATCAATCATCAAAATATATATATCCGTTCATACAAAGTCTCCGAGGTATCCCCGTTTTTTCGTTTCTGAGTGACGCGGCGTCCATTTGAAATTTCGAGATAAAAATCGAACGAAAACATCAATTTAGATAACGTTCGCAGATAATGGAGCCGGGCCTTAATGAAAAACAAAACGACCAACATGACTCTTTTACAAGTCATTTCGCAAGTTTGATTATTTATCTGGAAGAAATGATGGGTTTGATTTGTTTATCGATGAAATGACAGCGAAATCGTCTCGGCGGTTGCGAGTTGAATGGAAAGTCTCATTGTCGTGAATTAGAATTAAATTTCACCTCCAATTGTTCATGGAGTTTCTTATTCACTTGGGAAGTTCAACAAAATTGAGTTTTTCATGTTAGGAGATCATATTTGAAATGACTGACTGAATTCTCAAACTCATTGTGAAAATTGAACATCAGATTCAATTGAATTTTCAAAAAATAATAGATGGCTCATGACTTGAAGAAATTCCCATCCAAACAGATGTTTCATTGTATTTTTTTTTCGAATGTTCTATGACTGCGGTTTGTAGAGTAGTTTGTGGGCACCACTGTATCAGTCTCTCCGGAATTCCTCGTCCCCGTAATTACCTAATTGATGATGGTGACTGATGCTGAACGTTGACATTCTAATTTCTTATGGTTATTATTATCGTGAGATGTTGTGTGGGAAGAAACCTGTGATTATGTATGCATTTCCTTTGTTACCAACCGGTTTCTGGTGTGTCGTCTTTCTCATGGGTTTTCATTTCTTTTGGTCGCGTTCTCGGATGATAGGTCAAGCGATGATGGAAGCGACACCTTGGGAACTCATGATGGGATTTTTTTGTGATTCTGATGAGTTATTCTCTCGGAATTTGATTAATGATTTACATACTTTGTACGCTCAGAGAATAAAAGATGTTCTGGGAGCAAAAAAATATAGACATTCAATAAAAATTCATTGCAATTTCTTACAGAATGCACTTGTTTTTTCTATTAAATTTTTTCATACTTGGAGTGGTTCAACTTGCCACAACCCTTTAATCCTTTTCGGCATCCCAGCGAGAAGGAGATCGCGTCAATATGGAATTTACTGTTATAAATTTTCCACTGAAATTTCAAGGAATTTTGTCATCGAAAATGATTAATTTCATGACAAAATCCGTGGGAACTGTAAATTTCAGTTCAATTATTCCGGGAAAATTAATGGAAAATCAGGACAATTCAGAGAAATCTCTCCTTGAATTCTAAATTACTCTGAATTTTCGGGGAGTTCCTTAAAAAATTCCTCGAATTCCGAGAATTTTAAAAAAATTCCCTGAAAATTCAAGGGAATTAGGCAGTGACTATTCGTTTTCACTTGAAAATTCATGTAAATCGTGAAATTTTCATCTTTCTGCCGCTATAAAAACAAGACTTTACTTAAATTTTCAGAGAAACTTGAAATTCCATTGATTGTTTTCCCTCAAATCGAATTTAAGATATTTTTCCGAAAAATTCAGCCAAATTTTTTTAACAGTGATCCTAGAAATCTGTTCTTTCTCTCAGTGATAATCTCTCAGTTTCTCTCGGTTCGGCCTTTGCCTTTGGTTCGATCTCGTGTCCTTCGGACTTGAGAATGTATGCGAGAGTGTTTGCTGAGACAACTTGTGAGGGGCTTGATGAGTCATTGCAAACTTCAGAGTTTACTGATGAATTCGCCGAAGTGTATTTATTTAAAAAATGCCGGAGGTCAATGGTCCAGGGATGTGCAAAGGTTTCTTGGGTTTTATGCTGGGGCGAATGGTCACTTGGTCAAGATGTAATGATTCAATTGAACGGAACAGGTAATTCTATACCCTGGATTGTCAATGAGGATGTTGGTCGTTAGGTGGAAAAGGAAAATAACAGGGAAACGTTGGAGGGTTATCACGAGCTTTCTCACTAAGAGATGTTAAATGGCTATGACGGTGGATGGAGAATCGTTAATTGGATTTTGCTAATGAGTGACATGGCGATTGCACTCGACTGTGGGTTGATAAACTGGCGTAAACTGTCTTGAATTTGATGCTTCAAGAGATTATAGAATCAAGCATTAATGATCATTTGGCGGTGAAGTCGTAACTTCTTCGGAATTTTCATATTAAAGATGACAAAAATCTTATGTTTTGTTTATTTACGATAGAATTCCGTTACGAATGCACTAGAACACGTTTCAACAACTTGTAAATTTAATTGCACACGTCAAAATCTATTGGTTTTCTACTGGAATTATTAGTATTAGTATGATTTTTTTTTGTTCCGATTTACATTAATTGCGATAGAAAACCGTGGAAGAATACTAATTTTTCTATGAAGCTTATTCTGTTACGATTTCTCATATAAAAATTCTTGACCATGAATTTTTTTAGTTTCTCTTCTTGAATTTTACAATGGAACAAAAAAAGTATACAATGGAAAAATCTGGCAAAACTTATGCCCTAGAAATTCTATAGAAACAAGTGGGAAATTGCTCTTGTATTGAATATAGCATAGTTATTTTTGCTAGTAAATTAGCAATATGCTTCCGAATGGTTATTTCGCACATCATTTCCTTCTATCATGTTTAATTCATTGTTTATTTCATTTTATTAAATTGTATATGATTTCTTTTCAACTAATTTTGTCCGATTTTCAACTTACTTAAATGATATCATTATCATTATATCATCATTCAATCAATTCAGCACTTTTTTTTTAGCTATCGTGGAAAAACGAATTTTGGAAAAATTAAAAAAATTGATAAATGAATTAAATGTCAATTAATGATTGATAGGGCTCAACAATACCTACATTTGGGGGGAAAAAAAGATTCAATTCCATCGATTCATTAGTGAACAATCGAAGAAAAGTCTGTTTACATACATACATATGTACGGACACGGTCTAAAAATTGCATTTTCGGACTATTTGGATCATAATGGGTCGACATAAGAAGAAAAATCCAAAACTTACATTTGAACGATTACAATGCTTCCATTCGGAAACAAAAATGTGAAAGGAATGATAAGAATTATTGATTATTGACCTCTTCTGATTTTTTACCCGAACTCTAATAGAAATTACAATATTGATGTGCACTTTTTACTTGGAATATTGGAATTAATACTAGACTTATCGCATTTTTTATCAGTATATCGGCGAAAAATTCCTGAAATTCAGGAGTTATTTTTACCAGATTTTTCTCTCCATACAAGATATCGACGTCAGATCGATAGCTAAATTTGAAAATTCGAACATTCCGATAACAGCTCTAATAATCATTTCAGATGCAATCGATCCTCTACCATAATAGCAGCGGTGATCAGGCATTCACGGGTAATCTCAAGAAGAAGGAAGTCCATAGGGCAATTACCCTGCATCCGGTTAAAAGCCCACCACACATGTACCGCCTCCACAACTACATGAGGGTGAGTAAAAACATATAAATCCATAATCCCACAGTTACAACACCTACTCAACCCTGCTTTTATGTTTCCTCTGTATAACACCAGATGAGTTTGAATTGAAGTTTACGTTTCAGGGTCTGAGAATCCAGGACTTGAAGCAGGAGCGCATCAAGCTCCATCGGGATATCACCGTGATGATTGAGCAGTTGGGAATGACTACTAGAGACTTCCAACGACATTTATCGGGATCCAAAGAACTCAGCACTGTTCTTCACGATATTGAGATGCTTGGTAAACCATTTTCAACTTCATGATCATTCCATCATTTCCAATTAATAATTTCCATAATTTTCATTCCGCTATTCGAAAAAAAATTCAATTAAGGTCCGAGTGGATTATCTTTCGAACGTCATCTCGTTTTTCCATCTTCATAATATAAAATATATCACAATTTCCACTGGATTATACATCACGCAGGAGTCCCTAAAAATTATGATTGTACAATTTAAAAAAGTAGAAAAAAAATGAACATTTTCAAAGAACGTGTTTAATAAAGTTTAAGAAATAAATCCGATTGAGACGAAATAGTGAATGGATAATTTATCATGGTAACTAACGATCTGACACCAATTGATTACTGTGACAAATGACGACCTAACAGCCATTAGATACATCAAATTATTAATTTGCAATTTCCTCCCTATTGGGTTTATTTCCCAATATTATTCAAAAACGCTCTTTGAAAATGTTCAGGTTTTTTTCAAAGTTTTTTAGTTGTACAATCATAATTTTTAGAGACTCCAGGGCTATGTAAAACTGAATAGCAATTGATCTTGAATAGATCATTCCAGATTATCAAATTAAAAAAATAACCAAGATCACGTTCGAAAGATATTCCACCCGGGCCTTAAATTAAATTCAGTAGGATACTACCTATGTACCCAACTCTGTAGCCCAAATGGCAGTATTATAACAAAGTGTCGTTTTCATTTCATTTAATTTACGTTATTTTAGTTGTTAAGGGTTGGGAGGGGAACAAAATGTAAAAACCCGAAAAGGCATACATACAGACCATAAAGAATTAAATTCAGTAGCGAAGCTGTAAAACAGTTCAAGTCTATTCTGATAAGTTTTCAATGAATATCTCTGAATCTAAGGCAGGTAGCGAAATTTTTGTAATACCTTTTTTGTGGAGGAAATTGAAACCTATAAAAAAGGTTATTATAAAAACTTGTTTATCTCCCCTAAATTCGGAGATATTTCTCGAAATCTCAGCTAAGAACCAAGTCGACAGGAATTGTTTTACCGCTTAGCACTTGAATTCTCAAACTTATATGATTTTCACATGACATTCAATTGAATTTTCAACAGATAAGAAATTCACATCAAAAGTAGCTTAAACCCTTATAATTTTCATTGCAAGATGAGCCAGAAAATAGGCATTTGATTGAAATTACCTAATTAATCAGTAACAAAACATCAGAATTTAATGTTAAATAAAAAATTCAAGTGTTACCATGAAATCTCGGAAAACAAGTGGTGGAAAAATCCTTGGATTTCAAAATTTCGTCGTTCTCGGAGAGAAATGTTCAATAAAAATTAGGAAACTCACAATTCGCTCACCGATTACAGAATCGACTCAGAAAATTTAAGTCACGTTAGCGTAATTTTTCATAGGAGATACAGATAAAAATTACGGAAGGCTCTGAAAAAATTCCACTACGGAAAAGATACATAATTTTTACTGAATATTTCTCTCCGTGTTGAATTTCCATCGTGTTCCTAAAAATCAGCGGTGGGTATCTGAAAATCACTGACATGTCCCTGAAAATCAAAACAATTTTCCTCTGTGAAAAATTCCCATTCATCTATGCTCCAACCATTTATATTACTACGGCCATTAGAGACAATTGACCAGCCGCAAATTGCTCGACAGTGATGAAGAAACACGCCGAGAAAATCGTACAGAGCGACACGCACTGCCAGACAAATCAATCAAAAGTTATTCATTATGTCTTACGCAATCCTGTCACGGATAATTTGACATTAATAGACCGTTCATGCGCGACACAAAAAGCACCCCCTCGAGCCACTCTCGTTCTATTTTTACTCAACTACTCTGAATGTATCAATTCACCTCATTTCAATAATTGAAATCCATTGATTTGATTGACAGGAGTTCCGGCGGGCTTGCGAAGCTTCAAGCCACGTTCCAGTCGAGAAGTTGTCCCCTGGGACTTTATATCGAGGTCGGAGTACAGTCTCGCCGACGCGAATCCCAGACGACGTATTCATAGTCACATTAAGGAGGGTCTGGAGGACATAACGAGAGAAGTTATGGATTCAATTAATGCCTGCTCGAGGCAACGTGGACGTGTTGTTGAGGAGAGATCTGCATTGTATGGGTACAGGAGAGTCGATGCTTATGGGGCTGACACTATTCTTGATCTTCTTCTAGTCTATCGGAAGTACAGGGGACGAAAAGTCACACTTCCGGTTAGAAGACACGTTTATGTCCATCAGCATTATACTGGTGATTATCGGAAATTGATTATTGATTAATCGTTGGATGTCGCTGATACTCGATAAGTCCATCCCGTCTTAATTATTTCGATAATTAATTGCTTGGAGATAAAATGTCGTGACCCATTTTCTGTTCATCATTTCTGCAATTCCAAGGCAATTTCGTGATTTCAAATTTCAATGTTTTATTAGTATCGCGTTGATTTTTATTCATTCATTTTCATTTTATTCGTTGCTTCATTTCAAACAAATCCGTGCAATGATTATTAATTATATTATTAATTATATTGCTAAAGCCAGTAGCATTTGTATGTCCTGTTCATTTTCGTTTTTTATTCGACTTCGTAATGCTATTATTTTTATTTCTGCCCATTCAATTAATTTGATTGTTCTGATTAACATTACTATCAATATTATTCATAATAACAGTATGATCAATTAATCGTTCAAATGGTTGAATGGAATTAAGTGTCGAAAGCTTTTTTTGCAACAATTTTTATCAAGCAGTCTGTCGGAATTCATTCATATTCGTTTTTCAGTTCACTTCGAAACTCTATTATTTTGATTTCTTTTTATTCAATTGGTTCGATTGTTCCCAGTTATTATTCACATAATTATCATCATGTAGTTGATTATATTGGCTATATTATTAGGAATGATAATTTTTTAGATATTTGCAGATCTACGTATCAAAAAATTCAATAGATTTCGATTTTTCTACACGAATATTCTCGTGGAATTTTTTCTATAAAAATACTTGGACATGAGTTTTCCAAGTTTTTTTTTTTCACTTTGATCCTGCAATGCGAAACAAAAACAATGTAGCGGAAATAACTGAGAAGATCCGTGCCCAATAGTTTCAATAGAAAAAATCTCAAGAGAAAAATTCAAACAGCAAAATCGAAATCTATTGACTCAAATATCCGACAGAATCTGCGCAAAAAACCAATAGAATTTTAACAGAATCCCCACAGAATTTCTAGAGAATTCCAATAGAATTTTCCAGCGAATTCGCTAAGCTTTTCTATGGAATTTTTTGTGGAAGACATTTATCTACACAGCTCATCCACTTTATTCATCTTTTATTAGTTTTCCATTTCAATTAACATCATTCCCGTCTAATTCCTCCAATTGACTCGATCGCATAGACTGAACATACTCAACAATTCTATTCAATGACCACCGATACAGCTCCCCAACAATCAGGTCATTTAATTATCCCCCAATTGCAGGGATAGAGATCCGAGAGGTCGTGAATTGCGAAGAAACTGATCGTCACCGTTCCCAGCTGACTTCTCAGAAGCCTCAGAGTATCTTCAACGCTGGATTCCTGGGTTTCAGTTCAGCAAAAGAGATCGATCCCATCAAAGACAAATCGATAAGATTCATCCTGCCACTGTCAGGTAGATTCCACGTATTCCAAAGGTTCCTGAGGAATTACGAGGAGATCTGCTTGATGACTGGTGATAAGACTGAACTCTTGGTAGTCCTGTACCCCCACAGGACCGACAATTCCGTAGATAGCACGATGGAGCTAATCAACAGAATGAGGATTAAATACTCGAGTGCCAGAATTGAAGTAATCCCAGGATCTGGGAATTTCTCCAGAGCTCAAGCCCTGAACCTGGGGGTCTCCCAGTCTCGAGAGGACGATCTCATGTTCTTTGTGGATGTGGACATTGTCCTGAAAGCCTCTGCCCTCCAGAGGATACGTCTCAACACAGTGATAGGGAGACAAGTCTACTTTCCAATTGTCTTCAGCCAGTTTGACCCAAAAATCGTTCGCGAGAACTCAAACACCCAGGACCCTTTCCTTATCAACGAATTCACTGGGTTCTGGCGGCAATTTGGCTTCGGTATAGTCTCCCTTTACAAGAAGGATTACCTCTCAATCGGTGGATTTGACCTATCTATAACTGGATGGGGAAAGGAGGATGTTGACTTCTTCGAGAAAGCTGTTAAATCCAAATTGAATGTCTTCAGAGCCCCTGATAAGCATCTTGTTCATGTGTTTCATGATGTCGAGTGTGACGAGAGACTATCTGGTATTCAATTATCCATGTGTCGGGGAACCAGGGTCGACACATTCGGCAGCACTCAGGCACTAGCTAGGATCGTTTATGATAATCCAGAGTATCTGAGGTTCGCCAGAGCCAGGAGAGCCAGACTCACTGCACAAGGAAATTGAATTGTCAATTTGTTTTGAGGAGACGAGGAAAACCCAACGATATTGTAGAGAAACTGTGATCTGACTTTAATGGACTGTCAATTCCTTTGTAGGCGTGAATAGCAGAAATACTTTATAATGTGTAAATATGAAACGATTGGATTCAGTGATATATTTTTAGCGAGCGAATTTTTATTGGAAGAATACAAATTTATGATTGGGGAGGACTGCAATGAGAGAAGAAAAGCATGTTCTCTGACGCGGCAAGAATGAAAAATCTAGTGTTGAACATTTGAAGGTTCTTATTTTGAAAAAGAAGGGAGATTAGTTTCTCGTTTTGGCTATCCAATACTCAAAGATAAAAAATTCATTGTTAGATTGAAGAGTAATGATATTTATTGATGAACTTTGTTTTATAAATGATAACTGCATCATTCAAACCTTTCGTATGTTCAGATGAAACAATTTCTCTCTTGATAATTTCAGATTTTTCAGATCAAATAAGACTTGTTTGACAACATGTTTTTTCTTCCTCTCAGGGTGGGGTGGATCGTCCTGTGATTGAACAAATTCACGTGTTTGTATGATTAATTCAGTAGAGTGTAACGTTTTCCCTCTCGAGGAACAATCTGATATTTATTAGTCCAATGAGACCTTCTGGAACTACTGCTTGCTCACAAATTGTTAGCTGTTTTCAGCCATTAAGTCCCTCAATAACGGTCAAACATTTGCATGTAAAGAAGGAATGGTCGGAACAATAATTTTATGAATACTGAGAGAAAATAGGATTTTACCTAACGAGATGGTAAATTACGTTTTTCGCGAGTGTGAGGATTGCAGCCCGAGCCGAAGGCGAAGAGTTGTAATCACACTCGTCAAAAACGTTATTTATCACGAGTTATGTGAGAATTTGTCTGTCCCCGCTGCTACGTTCATCTTGTACCAAAATGTGTCTTTTCGTTTACTTCACCCAGAAAAACGGTTTATTTGAATTGAATAAGCTTTACTTGAATCAAAGAGATTGTTTATTTGACTCTAACAGAGCATTTGTAGCCTTCAAATACAGTCCAGTTAATTCAAATAAATCATTTCTCTGAGTGTTGTGAAAAGGTTCGGCACTCGTTAAACGCAATATCACTAACAAAAAAACATAGTTTAGACACATATGCAATGGGATTTTTTAACTCATGTTATTGCCAGTCCTCGGTTTCATCTCAAGCCGCTAACTTCATACTCGTAAAAGTCGCACAACGTCTGTAAATAAACGCTTCGTGTGTGTAAAGTGCCGCTTTACAGGCAGACATGGTACAAAACAGATTTCTAAGATCAAGTCTACTCTTGTCACAATCTTTTCCTCGGTTGGACGCCCAAAAGGTTTGAAAGATTGAGGCAAGTTTGACTAATCTTCTGTTACAATCAATGATCAAGGGTGGAAACATCTTGTTCACTGAATAATTCGGAAAACTATCCATTCTTGTCACAGGAAGTCTAGTTTGCCTCAACCTTTATAGAGAGGTTTGCGGCAGGAATTTTCTTCCTCCTAGAAAATCGTTTTTTCTCTCAGTGAATATATCAAAGTTACATGACACCTGATAAATCTCATTCGTTCAATTACTGGACAACTCACCCCATTCAAAGTGCCTACACTGATAGAAGGATTTATTTGTTGTTAACGAGGCTTCTGTTAATGAATCTTGGTAATAGTTGAGAAGCCTCGTTAACAGCAACTAAATCATTCCACCTTTTCTATGAGTGAATTGGAAGAAGAAAAAAGATTCATTTCGACTCCGTCTAGTCAAATCGGCCATTTTGGATGTGTAAAAGAATATTGACAAGACTTGGCTCGAGGTCTGCTTCTCCTCTGCTTAACTAACGTGTCTTCAATCTTCCATATATGATAAGAAAAATGGTAATTACTGTAAGAAATGAATTTACTTTTGAAGTGTAAAATATAAGTCTTTTGGAATCATAAAGCAGAAACATTTTTGTCCGCTGGCGCGGAAAGAGCAGACTGATTGGGGGCTTCCCACTCCCCTGAAATGCTTTTCGCGTTCCAATCGTCACAAATGCAAATAGATTCACCCACTCTTGGCGCTGTGAGATAATAAACCTATCGCGTTAAGCAAGCTCAAGGACAAGAATAATCGCTTCGATTCCGTATAGTTGGCTGGTACAAGACAGTGTATCTTTTATCAATTAAAAACGTAGGGGGATCAGCATAAGTGAGTTTATTATTCCTCGAGTTGATTGCTGAACTACCGATCAAAACGCGGAAATCTTGAAAGATGGTAGGGTCGCGGTTTTTCGTGGCAGCAGCTGCGATTTTCTTCGTTTTTGGGCTGTCTGCTGAGGGAAAAATTATGCAGAAATGTGAAGTTGTCAAAGAGCTGCAGAAAGCAGGAATTTCCAAGACGTTCATCAGCAATTGGGTATTTTTCTATTTTTTATAGAATCTTCCTCATTTTTGCACAGTTTCATTTCAATATCACTGATAATGATATCTGGAATTTTTGCGAGACAATTATCTCGATAACCTCGATAACCATCTTTTCTACAGTTGAGAAGATTTCCGTTAAAGAAAGGCCTGACTATTGCCTGATTTGAGAGGCAACGCACCCCTTGTGTTTGTGCAGAAGTATGAATTTTTTGCCCCCCATAACTCAGTAGCGAAGTGGTCAAACGGTTTAAGTCGATTTTGGCTATTGGCCAGTTTTCAATGAATATCTCGAAATCTAAGGGAGATAGCAAAAGTTTTCTCATAACTTTTTTAGTAGCACTCAATTCGCTCTACAAAAAAGGTTATTATAAAAATTTCGCTATCTCCCTTCAATTCGGAAATATTTCTGGAAAACTCAACTAAAGATTAAATTGATTTAAACCGTTTGACCACTTCGCTACCGAATTGTTGATTTTTTGTTAATAAATGAACTCCAGGCACCGGACAATTTAGCAGTGCAGTGACTGAAGTTGTTTGGTTTTGACGAATTAAGAAATACGAACAGACGGACGATTCTATAATTCAGTAATGAAGTGGTAAACGGAGCTAAGTCGACTTATCTCCCAGTTGAGCTTTTGAGGAATATTTCCAAATCTAAGGGAGATTTGGAAATATTCCTTTGAAATATTCCAAATCTAAGGGAGCGGAATTTTCGTAATCACATTTGTTGTAGCACTCAATCGGCTCCACAAAAAAGGTTATAACAAAAATTTTGTTATCTCTCCGAGATCCCGAGATATTGATTGAAAACTGATCAATAGTCAAAATTGACTTATCTCCTTTTACCACTTCGCTACTGAATTAAAAACTTGAAATTCCTGTAGACCTTTGAAGATTCAATTAAATATGATAAATCGAATGATGACTTTCTTTCAAACTCATTAAGTCTCATCAGTTGAATTAAGAATTATAATCAGATAATAATCTCGTTAGTGCGAGGTTTTAGAGAGGAATTCCAAACGATTTATTTTTTTGTAGCTGAAAAAATTTCCGACTAAAAAGGTGTTATGGTGTTTTTGTTCAAACCACGCCCTCGACATAATTGAATCATTAAAGGAATAAGAAGAGGAATCAAGTTATCAAGTTTCCCTCATGAAATTCAGAATTGTAATTGAGCAATTCCCTCGATAACGAGAGACTCTGGAGAAAAATGTCTGAAGACCTTTTTTGTAGTTGAGAAAATTAAAGCTTGCAAAGTAGTACATTTCGTCATTGGGCCGAAAAAAACTCTTCTAGCTCATATGATTGCAGCCCGCGCCTCTGCAAGTTGTTTTCGGCCATCTGATGAACAATATTTTGTTGCCTTACGACCGGAATGACGAAAAGTTTTTCAAAGGTTTACATAAAAATCAATCAAATTATTCACTCATTAAGGGGACGAGATTAATCAACTCATTAAGTTTCACTTGTGGAATTCAGAGTTTTGTAGATAATTTCAATAATTAATTGCCCAATTAGTTCAAAACCAAGGAATTTCAGAGGAAAACCTGGTCACACTATTTTTTACAGGAGATTTCCTCATCCGATTTTATCTCAAACTTGATGATTCAATCATCAAGTTAATAAGATGATGCTATCAGTCTTAGATTCCGAGATATTCGTTGAAAACCGACCGATAGTCAAAATCGACTTGAAACGTTTTACCGCTTCGCTACTGAATTCTGCTCCCACTCCTCCGCAAAACGTCAAAATGCTGCATTTCTATTGGTTGCCATTCAGATAGGGAACAATCGTATGCAATACCACAAGAGCTTCAAAATTATCAGGTATTTCCCGATAGTTTCGTTGCAAACAAACGAAGAAGTCAAATTTTTCCTGAAAAACTGGACGAATTCGTTTGTATGTAGGGAACCTTGAGGGAAATAACTGATTAATTTTGAAGCTCGAGTGGTTTTCGGATGAAAATTTTTCCATCCAAATTTCGGCCAAGAGAATTGCTCTACATTGTTAGAAAAGAAAAAGTAATTTTATGAACAGTTGACTACTAATTTTCAGGATAGTGACACTGAATACAATTTAGGGGGAAAACAGTCATAAAATTACAGGTTTTACTGAAAATTCAGTAAATTTCCAGAATTTTAAGCGGCATAAAGACGAGAATTCCTTAATTTATTTGGATTTCCCATCGAATATGAATATTCAGTGCCAAATTACATCGAATTTTTAGTGAAATCTGAAATTTCATGATTTTTTTCTCCCTAAATCACATTCAGCGGTACTGTCCTGAAAATTCCAGAATATATTTTGCCGTACTGATCTTCACTTTTCCTCGTCCGGGGATTGGTATTGGCCCTTCCCCAAACTCGTAAAACTGAAAATCACTACGGGAAAATATCGTTCACGTGTAGTGCCATGGGGTTTTTTTACTCGTACGGTTGGCCAGTCCTCGCCTTCGGCTCGGACGCCAACTCCACGCCAGTAAAAAACCCCATGGCACTCGCCCTGAAATATACTATATCCGAATTTTCTGGTTTTCTGTTTATTTTCAGCAAAAAATGGAACTGAAATTTTCAATTCTCTCTGATTTTTCCACGAAATTCTGAAGTTTCAATGACGAAATTCCTTGAAATTTTAGTGGTAATTAAATTTGATAAAAATTTCCAAAAAGGGTACTGGAAAATTCAGACAAAAATTTTTAACAGTGTATGAAACTAAACTCATCTGTCAGTTCCATCGAGGGGCTCCCTCAACCAGGAACTCTTTTGTTTTTCATATACATATATCAACGTGAAAAATTACCAGTAGTAATACCACTAGTGCTCCAAAATTATCGGATATTTTCCGATAGCTTCGTTGCCTAGAAACGATTGTGTCAAATTTTGCAGATTTAAAATCCCGAGTGCGAAGCACGAGGGATTTTTCTGCGATTCATTCCTAGGCAGGGAAGCTTGAGGAAAATATCCGATTAATTTTGAAGCACGAGTGGTATTTGACGGATTATTTTTCCACTCGGATTTCAGCCAAGCAGAATGCAGTGAACATCCGGATACATTTACACAGCCATACATTTACAACCCACATTTTTGGTTATCTGTTACACAGAATATTAAACGTGAAATGCGTTGAAAGATGAGAAACATTTGAAAAGCTACTAGTGAATTTCTGCAAGTAATACCACGAGAGCTTCAAAATTATCGAGCAATTCCCGATAGGTTCGTTGCAAACAAATGAAGGAGTCAAATTTTTCCTGAAAAACTTGAAGACTTCGTTTGTATGCAGGGAACCTTGAGGGAATTACTCGATTAATTTTGAAGCTCGAGTAGTATTCGGGAGGGAATTTCCCCATCCAAATGTCGGCCAAAAGAATTGCACTATGAGACAAAATCCATCTGACAGTTCCAACCAGGGGTTCACTCGACCACGGAATCTTTTGTTTTCCACAAATATAGTCAACGTGAAAAACTACCAGTTGAATTATCAAAAATTATCAGCTGAATACCGTGTTGACTATATGAAATAACAGTCGAATAGTGCAATTCTATTGGCTGACATTTAGATGAGGAATATTCCCGTCGGAAATTTTTTAGAAATTTCCGAAATAAAACTGTTGGACAGCCTCAAATACTGCGCTCTGATTGGCTGAAATCCGAGTGAAAAAAATAACCAGTGGAATTATCAAAAATTATCAGTCAAATACTGCGTTGACTACATAAAATAGCAGTCGAATAGTGCAATTCTAGCGGTTGAAATTTGGATGGGGAAAATTCCCTAGGTAATTTTTCCTAACTTTTCTCTTCGCGTAGGTTTGCTTGATGATCACTGAGAGCGGTTTGAACACGGCGGCAAAAAAGGGACCAGGGACAGCCGCCAGTTATTCCTACGGAATTCTGCAAATCAGCAGTCTGAACAATAAGTATTGTATAAGTGGCAGAAAAGGTGGAATCTGTAATAAAAAATGCGAGGACTTCCTCAATGACGATATCAGTGATGATATCGCCTGCGCCCAGAAAATTCATACCGCTGAGGGGTTCAAGTACTGGAAGGGCTGGGTCCAAAAGTGCAAGAACAAACCTCTTCCTGATGTCGGAAACTGCAGGAGGCGGCGGAGGCGTTCGCTCTTTATCTAAGGATATCGATAATTTATCAATTGCATGTTTACCCCACTGTAACCAATAAAAATTGTTTTATCAGTATCAAGAAATCCACTTCGTGTCTTCATCGTTATCACCCAACGCGAAGACGTGGGAGATAACTTTTCTGTCTTAAACTATCTTATCGAACTCCTGAAAAAATCAAGAACTCGAGGGAATGAACTGACGTGTTATTTTGAAAATTCCATTTCAGTCGAATATTATGGGGCATAAAAATTTAACTACTTTCCGCGTGTACATTTACACAGAATTCTACGTAAAATCTGAGATTAGACTTTATGAAGTCAACGGGAACATTAGTTTTCTGTCCGGTAGTCGGTGCTGTTTTATCTTTATCAGGAAAAATAGGTAAGAGAACATGAGAGCAGGGAAGATCGTCCCACGAAGATCCACTTCCCTATAAGTACTGCAAGAGTAGAGCCATGGGGAACCTGTCCATACGGGCATCGAGGAGGTTAATAAATAACTGAATCAATGTGGTTTTCTAAATCGCTTCAGAAAACGCATTCACTTTCATCGACGAAAAAAGTTGAGAATGTTTATCCAAAACAGTTAACAATTGAAAACTTGATTTTTAACTGCATTGAGAGAAAAATTTAAGAAATTAGCATCAATGCTCTCCCATCAGCCCAAAAAGTTATTGAATTTTTCTCAAACATGTCTTGTTTCGACGAAAAAAATCGCAATTTGAAAATTATTAAAGAACAATTTCAGTAGCGAAGTGGTAAAAGGGTTTAAGTCGACTTATCTCCGAGTGGAGTTCTTGAGGAAGATTTCAGATTTCGTGCTCCACTGAAAATTCAATCAAGTTGTGAAATTTCCATCTCACTTCCACTGAAAACTCATGAATTTCCGTGAATTCTACTTAAAACTTGAAATTTCATAATCATTTTTTCCCTAAATCCGATTCAATTTCACTCTCGTGAGATATCCTATAATACCTTCCATGAAATGTCAAAAAATATCTAACAGCGTATACCGAGGGCCTACTCACTCCCGCAACCATGGCGCCACTCTGTGATGAAATCAATCCGAAATCACGTTGAAATCATGTAAAATAATGGAAATCGTCGAAATCACTGAAAACACGTGATTTCAACACTAAAATAATTCCCGAAAACACGCATCGAACTTTATTGATCGTCATATCAGTTATTTAATTGCCTCTGAAGTCATTGATTTCATTTCTTCCCGAAATCCCTGAAATCAACCCTGAAATTACGTGAAGTCGACTTAATTTCGAAATCATGGTATCACTTAATCAGGAAGTGAGTAGCCCCTCAAAGTCTACACGATATTTTAAAAACAATGGAAATTGAGTCAAAAAAGAGACACGACTAAAGTCTAATCAAGAATCAGGATCACTGGATGTGATCCAACATTGACGCAAACCCGATGCTAAAGTGTTAGTTTTAGAAAATCGAGTCATTAGACTTACAAAACCCACTGCGTGCGTCGACTTGAAAAGAATCTGGCACTAATTCCTTACATCCACATGTCGCATTCATCATCTACGTGACCTCTTTGCCTATCATCAATACCCCAACCATTTTTGCCTTTCAAATTAGCGGTGAAGTGGAGAAGTCAGATAAGTCAATTTGACTTTGCAATTGCTTTTCGGAGAATACGGTAGAATCTGCGAGAGATAGTGAAATTCTTCGAAGATCTTCATGAAAAATTTGGTATCTTGCTTTCAGCTCGAGATATCTATCTCAAACTTTGTTATCAATTGATTATTCCTCTTTTGCGATCAACTAATAATAGTTTTGTAATCAGCAAATCTATCTATTCTTGTGAATTCAGATTAATAAATTTTTTTATTGTCAGATGATTAGGATTTCCTGAGGGGGAAATATTGACAAGAAAATATTACAAGTTGATCAATGTTTTTTTACTTATTAGATAATTAAGAGTCTGATTAGGTTTCAATTATGGCAATCATGTTGCTCTAGAGGATGACTATGTTGTATTTAACCTTGGATGAACTCCTCCAATGATTATTCATTTTTCCTAAATTTCTTATTTTCTAGAGGCAAGAATTTCGATTAATTTTTTAATGTTGATAATTATTGAGGGAGTGCACTGAAGGTCATAATGAACATGCTCATTTTCTGCAGCTATATGATTGTCATAATTGACACCTAATGAGGATCGCCTGGGAATTACTCGGCTGGAGAAATACGGCATTGAAAAAATAAATACTTGGCCATGAAAAAAAAAAATATTCCATTGAATAAATACTGAGCCATGGGATCGACCCATGCGAATGTGAACGCTTGTTTTCAAAATTGATTATTTCCAAATCTATAAAGAATAACTGGATGAAACAAACAAAATTGAAAACCAGAATACCCCAGCTTCAATTAGAAACCGGTTTCATACCGGTTTCATTAGAAATAATCGAATTTAAGTTGTATTGAGTACACACTACGCTTGGTAACAGAAGGGCCTCGTCCGTGAGGGGTTAACGAATGGTAGAGTTGAATATGACCAAATGAATATTCGTTAATAGTTAACGAATGGTTCACTTGAAAGGTGAAAATCGAGTCAAATAAGCATTCTCAAATGTCCATTTGTTAACTATTAACGAATGAACACTTGATGAGGCGAATAGATCCTCGTATCGAAACAAATCCATTCGTTGCACCCAAAAAAAAATTACTTTTGATCAGTGAATCCATAAAATATAACATCTACGAAATGAAGTCGGCTTATCTGATCTCACCACTTCACGTGAAGGAAAAAAAATAACCAGTAGCCTTTGTAAGTTATTTTGAATTCAAATTTCAGACGCTACGGTTTGCGTACTGTTTCCGCAAGTTATTATCGGTCGGTTACAATGCGAATAATATTAGAGCCTAAGCCTTGTAGCGAGAGTCACTCATTCACGTGTATTTAAACGAATGACACCGTACGATTCATTTTTGCATGAAATAAAGTGAATAAAATTTATTATTATTCCTGACAATTAAATAAACTGAGTTAGAGTTTTATTATCACTTAGACCAATGGAAACTCTTTGCACCTTTGACAAATATTGCATAAGGCACGCGCCACTGGTTTCATTAAACCTCGTCGCGTCGATCAAGGCCGTTCCCCAAACCCCGAAAACTGTAATTATCATGAAATCCTTGAAATATTTTCCCCTCCTCTTTGCTAAAAAATTGTTCACGGGTATTCTTTACCCACCAGCAAGCTTCATTGCCGCAATAAATTCACTCGTATTTGCAAATTAGGATGAAAAAAATGTCTTCGAAAAGTACACAGAGCCACCAGTTGGCGGACAGGTGTTGGACACATATTTGCTCATCATTTGTGTGTGTATATTATGCGTTTTCATGAAGAGGATAGCTGGTAATCGTGCGCGTGCAATGCTCGCCTCCTTTCACTGGCGGAAGTGAAGTGTTGGGGTATAAGAAACGGAGATGTAAAATGCCGCGTGAGAGCGTGCCCGGGTCATCATTCGTGGATCAGCTCCATGAAAAAAAAATGAGAGGGGAAAATGAGAAAGAGAAAAAGAAAGAGAGAGAGAGAGAGAGAGAGAGAGAGAGAGAGAGAGAGAGCACGCGAATTTCGTGTGAATGATGATGAGTATGTGCGGGAGATTGAAATCAATTGAAATTTTCTAAACATTTTCAGGCATGCACATTCCCATTGAGAAATATCTGAATTTCAATTGATCATTTGACTTCAATTGCACGGAGATTCATCGGTGTTATTAAGATTCCACTTGAATGGGGGATAAAGAAGAAAGTGACGATTACTGTCGTCTGTGCAAATTGTCAGTGATCACTGCTGATGATATCAATCGCTCCTCCTGGAGGAAGAAGGAGGGAAATTGAGGGGATTAAAAATTATTGGAATTATCCTCGGGGTCTGGGACGGTGAAAAATCACTGAGAAGTGAATGATCCACTTTTAAAAAATTCAATGTAACGATTTTTGAAGCCTCTGCACTGTGAGAAATTTTTTGAAATTTCATGGAAGATATAGTTAATCTCATGAGAGTGACATTGAATCCTATTTAGGGAAAAAAGGTTATAAAATTTCAAGTTTTAAGGAAAATTCACGGAAACTCGTGAGTTCTCAGTGGGAGTGAGATGGAAATTTCACAACTTAATTGAATTTTCAGTGGAACATGAACACGATAAAAATTTCCTGAATTTGGCACGGAAAATTCAGACGAGAATTTTTAACAGTGTATTCCGCTTATGAAGTAATGTAATATGATGTCTATGTATATTTTTTTATGTACTGTCATATTTTGTTACAGTAATTGTAAACAAAAAAGAGAAATTAATTTCTTACTGTAATAAAAAAATTCATGATTTATACTGTAATTTTTTTAACAACAAAAACGTAACATAGTTCTGTACTCTAAATAAATTTGTTAATAAATTTATAACTTTGTTTCGCCAACTAAACAATTATTTGATTCGTAGAAGCCCTTGTTTGAGTCGCGGAAATATTTCTTCATATTAAGGAATCAATTTTTTTAATGCGAATAGAAACGCTAATAAAAATCCAGTTGAAGTTCAGATAAAAACTTCAATACGCGATAGTTGAATAAACCCATTTATCTGATTCGAATAAACCATTTCTCTGGGTGTAATTCATGTGATGCATTGCGTTCCTCAATATTCAATGAAATTGCAATTCTTCAGGCAACTATTTTTCTCAATTTCGAAGATAAAGAAGAAATGGATTTCAAAAATCGAAACATTGAATTTTTAAGTGCAGCTGGTACTTACATTTAANAGTAGTGCATTTCTCACTTTTATACTGCTCAACGGTAAAAAGACCTACTTCTCATGCTTAACTACCGTCGGTAAAAGAGCCCTTTTTGGGCTTGAGCAATGAAAATGCTATTTTCGATTTCAAAAGCAGGAAAATTTCGATTTCGACTTGAACCGTTGTACCGCTTCGCCATCGGGTTCAAAATATTGAAATTTAAATGCAGCTATTGCTCACATTAAAAAAAATCTAGTTCAGAATGAAGAAGGAGGGGAATTGAGAGGAATAAAAATTATTGGAATTATCCTCGGGGTCTG